AGGCCAGCCCCCCACTGGTGCCCACGTGGCGGCCAGCTAAGAGGTCACCCGCTCGGGGAAGACCTTCCCCAGCACTTTATCCTGAAAATGTTCGAACCGGCAGCAGAGCTGACAGCATTTCACGGTGAACGACGCCCTTAAGCCGCCGCCTGGAGCCCACCCGACACTGTCCATCGGCCGCGCTCCCTCCGTCGGAGCCCCCATTCCTCGCTCGCACTGTCACCGCGCATTTCCCCCAAATACCTTCCTTTCCCATCAGGAGCCAGGCCTGGTGCCTGTTTGCAGACTTCTATTTTGACACGAAATTGACACTCAATGACACCTCCGATCTTACATGTGCCATCAGGGCTTCTGACCCGTGAAGGTGCTGATGCCATCATCAACCTGGGGTGCCCCCCCCCATCCCCTTGGCCTTGCCTGTGCAACGCAAGGCCCGGGACTCGCCACCAGGGGGCAGGCATGGCGCTGCAGCAGGCCTCCGGTTTCCGGTTTCTCCATCTGCTCAGCTCCAGGCTGGACCCCTCCCTACAGCACAGGCATGGGGGGGGGGGGGGGGGGGGCTGTGCACACCCCTCAGGTGGCACCCCGTCCAGATGGAACCCCGGGACCTGCCAGCGGTGGGCCCCTCTGGGCTCCCCACTGAAGCTCGGGGATCCTCCAGAACAGCACCCTTAGCAGGTGGCCAAGCAGAGGCCCAGGCGGAAGCAGTGACCCGTCAAAGGCCCTGAAGGGAGAGGGACTGAGGTGGGCGCTGCCGGGTCTGAATTTCCCGGCCACAGTGCGGACCTGGCCCACAGCAGACAGGGGCATCATTTCCGGCATCTTCAAAGCCCCCCCCCCGCCCCTTTTTTATTTCAGAGAGGAAGGGAAAGGGAGAGAGAGAAACATCAACGGTGAGAGAGAATCATTGATCAGCTGCACACCCCTCACTGGGGGTCGAGCCTGCAACCCGGCATGTGCCCTTGACCAGAATCGAACCTGGGACCCTTCAGTCTGCAGGCCAATGCTCTATCCACTGAGCCACACCAGCCAGGGCCTTCAAAGCCCTTTGACTCACACCTCACTTGACCTTCACAGCTCACCTTCGAGGTTCACACTCATTTCTCAACTGAGGAAAACGGGGCTCAGGTGCCAACACTTGGGCTCTTCCTGCCCCGAGACCCTGGGAGATGGGGAGTTGAGCCCCCATGACCACCCTCCGCCCTGACCACCAGCTCAATCCACTGTCCCCACACCCAGGTGCTCTGACACATGGATGTGGCAAAACACAGCACGTGCCCGGCCGGCCTGGCTCAGTGGTTGAGCGTTGACCCAGGAACCAGGAGGTCACAGTTTGATTCCCCGTCAGGACACATGCCCGGGTTGTGGGCTCGATCCCCAGTGGGGTCTGCAGGAGGCAGCCGATCTATGATTCTCTCTCATCGTGGATGTTTCTCTCTATCCCCCTCTCCCTTCCACTCTCTGAAATCAATAAAAACATATTTAAAAATATTTCCATAAACGTTTCCCAAAGTATCTACTCTGCAAATACCGATGATAAATCCCTCCATGTTGGGCTCCATTCGTGGGTAAATCCATGCAGGGCCAGCGGGCTAGGAAGCAGATGGCACGGCTGAGCCTCCCACGGTGGGTACAGCCGGTGCCAGGGCTGGAGGGAACTGCACTGGTCTCACGCCTTGGAGTCTGAGAGGGAGGCGGGCAGGACAGCCAGCTCGAGCCAGTGGCCAAAAGGAGGGAATCCCAGGGTGACCGAGACCAGGGCATGTGAGGAGGGGACAGCTCGCCACAAAGCGGTTGCAGCTCAGACCATCGCTGCTCAGCGAGGGGGCCACCCGGACCCCAGCAGTGGCCGCGGGAAGGGACGGAGGCAGGAGCCCAGGCAGACGATTGTGTGAACTCCTCGCCGCCAGGAGCAGGGAGAGAGGTGGCTGGCATGGCACTCCCCGCCAAGGAGGCCCCTGCAGCCCGCGCGGGGGCACCAAGGCTTTCACACGGGGCTGAGGGGTCGTTGGCCTGGCTCAGTGGTTAGAGCGTCAGCCCACACACCACCGAGTCCTGGGTTCAATTCCCCGTCAGGGGCACGTACCTCGGTTGCAGGTTTGATCCCTGGCCCTAGGTGGGGCGTGTGTGGGAGGCAACCCTTTATTGTCTCTGTCACATCACGTGGATGTTTCTCTCTCCTTCTCTCCCTTCCACTCTCTCCAAAAATCTACGGGAAACACCCTCAGATGAGGACTGACAGCACACGCGGCCGAGGGGACTCGCTCAGGAAGTGCTCCTGGGTTCCTGCCTTCCTCAGGGGAGGTTTTAAAGGCTGTGGCTTAGGCCAGGTCATTACTGCGGCCGCCTCCGTCCCTGACCACAGGGCCTTGCTGTGCGGCCTCCAGCCTGCGGGAGGGCCGGGTCTAACAGGCGAGGAGCAGACGGGGAAGCAGGTGGGACAAGGTCTGAGCCAGACGCCTTCTGGAAGGAGTGGGGGAGGCAAAGCCGGGTCCCCAGGAAGTGTCGGAGGGAGGACAGCATTCTGGGATTTTCTCGATGAAATGAGAAGTCAGAACAGATGGCCATTGTCCGGCTCCATGGAGAGACCACAAGTGACCTCAGGGGCGGGTGGAAAGGGCACACCTGTTCCCCCAGCAGCTGAGAGGAGAGCCTGCCTGGA